GGTTATTAATATTTACATCCTGAGGTGCAAAGCAGGAGTGGGGTATGCAGATGTGATTTGAGCAGAGCACTATCAAGCTTAGTCCAGATTCCTGGATCCTAGTCTCAGCTCTGTTGTAACAGTGAATAATCTAGAGCAAGTCATGCTGACTTTCCCCATCTGCAAAATGGAGATAAAAAATGTGCCTTCCTCCAGTTGTATTACAAGGCTGAGTTACTGAACATAATAAAGTGTTTAGACCTCTCCCCCCCAAAGGGGCTACACATATAGGTTGAGATCTTTGGCGTTCCCCACTCTACACTAGCAGAGAATTTTCCCCAGTAGGTAAAAAGTATTAATGTTCGTTAGGTTAAACAGCCCACCCTTGTTAACGTGATCTAAAGGCACTGCAGATTGTTATAGCTCATTGGTCTCCCCTGTGACGCAAGGTTTGGTTTAGGCTTATCTCTAGAAAAAAAATATGAAAGAAGAATGCTTTAAGAGTGAGATCTTGCACCCTGGAGCCAAGTGAGTGAATAAACTTGTTTTAAAAGGCCATCACAACTGAAAGCAAAATGATTGATTTATACTGCAGTAAACGTGGGACTTTGCTACTGAAAAAAGAAGCCTAGAGATTCCTTTATATTTGGTATAAAACCCTCCTGTTATTGCTGTGAGTGGCTTGAAAAGTAATTTCCACTGCCTTTAACCTCTGAATTTTCACATCAAACGCTATTAATTAGCTTCATTAACATGAGTTCTACAATTGACAGGTAACTGCTTTTGCTGTGCATAGAATCCTAGCGTTGGAAGAAACTTCAAGAAGGCATCAAGTCCAGCCCCCTGCTAAAAGCAGGACCAATCCCAACTAAATCATGCCAGCCAGGGCTTTGTCTAGCTAGGACATAAAAACCTCTAGAGATGGAGATTCCATCACTTCTCAAGAGAACCCATTCCAGTGCTTCTCCACTCTCCCACTGAAATAGTTTTTTCCTAATATCCAACCTAGATCTCCCCCACTGCAACTTGGACCATTGTTCTTTGTTCTGCCATTCGTCACTACTGAAAACAGCCTCCCTCCATCCTCTTTAGAACCGCCTGCAGGTAGTCGAATCCCCCCTCACTCTTCTCTTCTGTAGATTAAATAAGCCCAAATCGCTCAGCCTCTCCTCATAAATCACATGCTCCCATCCACTAGTCATTTTTGTTGCCTTCTGCTGGGATTGTGTCCACATTCTTTCTGTAATGGGGGCCCTGGAATTGGATGCAAGACTCCAGATATAGCCTCATCAGTACTGAATAAAGGAAGATAATCACTTCGCTAGATCTGCTGGCAATGTTCCTACTAATGCACCTCAATATGCCATTAGCCTTCTTGGCTACAGGGACACACTGTTGACTCATATCCAGCTTCTCATCCACTTTAATCCCTTGGATTCTGTCATTTCCACTCCAATTCATCTGATGAATTGGGTTTTATCCACAAAAGCTCATGCTCTTATGTATTTGTTAGTTTCTAAAGTGTCACAGGACTACTTGTTGTTTTTAAAGCAATATATATATACAGTAATTTCAGCCCAATTACCCAGATTTTAAGGGTGTCAAAAACAAAACTAACTTATAGTAACAATGCTTCCCAGGGAACTAATAAAATATAATGCCAGTATGCAAGACATGCCACTGAACTGTTGCCATCTACTTTATTCCTTTGAGCAAGAATTGTACATAAAAATACTTGGCCATTATAAACACTGAGATTGTGGCCATGTTATACTATCATTTATCATCTTCTCTTTCTTCCGTCCTGGAATGAGTACATATTAAATAGATGGCTGTTGTTGGCTGGAGTTGTGTTATTCTCTGCAGGTGCAAAAGGCAATTCATTTTGGAGCTTGCCAAAAGGAGTCATGAGTGACCTTAATAGAGAATTATCAGCCATAACAGGGTGAGAGGCGCCTTGTGTTTTTCTTACATGAGTACAGGCTGGTAACTTGGAAGGAATGAAATCAGAAGTTGTCATCGATAACTAGGGGAGAAATATTTTCTCCTGTGCATCCAAGATGGCCTATTTGCAGATTGGAGAGTAATCATGCAAAATAATTACCAAAAGCTGAAAAATGGTTCCAAAATGCAAATTGCTTTTGGCACTTTATGGGTTCCACAATATACTTGACAATGACCTCAGCCCTTTGGGTCTTTGGAGTAAATCTTATCCCGTAGCATGCTTTTGTGAATCTCTCTGTACCCCAGTCTTATGGACACCGTGTGTATTTATGTTCTAATGAAGCAATTTCTTAAAGCTTGACTAGCATCTGAAATTGTGCTTTGTTTTTTTAAATTAACACATGACAATGAATGAAAGTCCAGACCACCATGTTACCTGTTGAGTGACAGGAGTTCAGTCTGTGGAGCTGTTTATAAAATGTCATTAGCTACAGGATCTAGCCACTGCAGTTGTTATTGTGCCAATGTCTACATAAAGAAACCCACCCCTCCACTGTGGGGCATCCTTTAGGTTCCAAGATGCTCCAGCGAAGGGTTATTGAATAAATGCTTACATGTGTTATAGATAATTTGCCTGACTGGGCTAGAGGCTGAGTTCCTCTCTGGTCCCCACAGCTGGTTCTTCCACAGGAAGATGGAGGTGTGTTGTGGATAGTGTGAGGAAGATACCTGTACTGTTGTTTGACATCAGTCTCCAGAGAGACAAGGTGGGGGAGGGAATATCTTTTATTGGACCAACTTCTGCTATTCATAAAGACAAGCTTTAGAACTACAGAGAACTCTTCTTCAGGTTGGGGAAGTTACAAACATCTCAGGAATGGAGGTTGCTCGTGACTGTAACTCTGAAAAGTTGCTTTCCCTTTTTTTTTTAGTAGTTTACATTTAACACAGTACTCTACTGGTGTTGGCTTTTTTTTAAATCTCCACTGCTGCCCGATTGTATACTTTGAGTTCCAAATACATTGTGTGGTTGACTGGTTAGTTAATAACTCTTGTAAGCTTTCTGCCTGATCTTAAGCAAATCACTTCAATCTCTCTGCCTTGACTCCTTCTCCATAAAACGGGGGTGTTAATAATGCTTCAGTAACTCTCAACTTTGTTGTGAAGATAAATTAAGGTCTGTGAGGTCTTGATGTAGCTCATACTAATGCAAGATGGCTCTGGCTAGACCATAAATAGAGCTTTAGTCTGCTAATGTCTCATTTTTGGCCCTAGTGATGGAATTCCACAGCAGTCCAATTCTCCAAGTGAGACACAATTCCCCTGGTCAGGTCTTAGATTCCTAGAGTTTAAGACCATTTAATGTTGACCACTGTGTAACACCAGGCCACAGAATGTCACCCATTCATGCAACAAGATGTTCTTTGAGCTCTGAAGGAAATTCTGCATAATCTGTATTTTGCCGATGGCATCTGAGCAAACTACCTGTGCTTCAGCTCCACATCTGATGCCAGGAACCACTACAGTTATTTCCTGTCCCAAGAATGGCCAGAAACAATACTGGCCCTATGTGTTATCCGTTGTCAGCAATGGGCATTTTTAATGCCCAGCTGTGAGGGACAATGAAAGGGAGTGTGTGTGCTCAAATTGTAAAATAAAAATGATCTATGAATTAAAAACAGAAGAATGATGGTTTGAGGGGTTTATTTGTTTTCATCTTTGCTACTTATGTTGCTTGATCTGTAGTTTCCTAGCTGCACAAGCTGAAACCTGTATCAGCCAATCTGTTTGCTTGCTCTTGCTTACACCAGTCACTGCAAATGCGTTTGCTTATAGAGTTGTGCCATGATAATGCACTCATAGGATTGCTGTACATTTTCTTTTTATGTCTGGATTTGCTCTTTAAGTAGTTCTAATGATTAACAACAAAGTAAATAGACTTCTCTCGTTTGGTGATTGCTCGCTGCACACATTGAAATTATGCAGTGGGAAGGGGCAATACTGAAATAAAGGGCCTGCTTTTTTTCATTTTTGCTTTGATGTCACTCTGGTGTATTTTATATTTTATTTACATGGGTTTAAAGTAATTTATACTAACTTTAAGAGCAGAGCAGCCTAAAGGGCTCTCCATAGAAACAGGACATGGGCCAAAGCAAATACACTGCATATATTGACAGTGATTAGTGATATGTTAACTGTATCTACAATAGATTTGTAAGTGTATTTAATAAATCCTGAAATCACAAACAGGCCATATTAGGGTCAGACCAAAGGTCCATCTAGCCCAGTATCCTGTCTTCTGACCATGGCCAATGCCAGGTGCCCCAGAAAAATAAGAGACCAAGTACTCATCTGAAACTCCTGGGAGCTCCTATGAGGACAGGCTGGCTTCCTGAGATCCCTGCCTGGTCTCATTTTACAGTAAGACTCCAAATTGCCTCTTGTACAGTATTTGAAGATTTCTGTCTCCAATTCTGACCAGCTGGGAGAAGGGCATTGGTTAGGGATTTCAGATAAGCCAGGGCTTCTTAACCTTCAGATCATGAAGAGGCCTCAGGAGGTCACAACCTGTTTGCCCTTCCCCAATTGCTAAAAGGAGCAATGGCTCAGCTGGGAAGGGTAGGAGAAGGGTCTCAGTATGGAAAAGTCTGAGCATCGTTCTGCTAAGGGCATCCAGGATGGGTGCCTCTCCAGACTGCTGGCCCACTATCCCAGGCTGCTGATGGAGATTACTCACAGATCATGAAGAGGCCTCAGGAGGTCACAACCTGTTTGCCCTTCCCCAATTGCTAAAAGGAGCAATGGCTCAGCTGGGAAGGGTAGGAGAAGGGTCTCAGTATGGAAAAGTCTGAGCATCGTTCTGCTAAGGGCATCCAGGATGGGTGCCTCTCCAGACTGCTGGCCCACTATCCCAGGCTGCTGATGGAGATTACTCAGAAGTCCCCTTCCATAGTGCTTTGCTGTGGTCCCTTCATTCCTTCTGGGTCACTTTGGGTCACTTGAAATGGGTTAACTGGTGGATAAACATTTCCAAGCTCTTCCAGACAGGACTGAGAGTCTTGTTTGTTCATTTGTAGGCCATCTCCCCGGACTCAGCCACCATGCCCCCTGCTGTCACCCTGGTGACTGAGGGCTACACACGGACTCAGTACTGTAAGTGGCCATGCGAGTGTCCCAAGTCGCCACCACGGTGTCCAGCAGGGGTCAGCCTGATCACCGACGGCTGTGAGTGCTGCAAGGCATGTGCCAAACAGATCGGAGAGAACTGCACGGAGGCAGATACCTGTGACTTCCACAGGGGCTTGTACTGTGACTACAGTGGAGACAGACCTAGGTACGAAATAGGAGTATGTGCACGTAAGTGATGTACATATATTTTTGGCTTAGATACACCGCATCGGCAGCTCCCGTTGCTCTGAATGTCCCTGGGATTTGTCTATGAACATAGTTTCGGTAACCGGGTTTGGTTCTTTAAAGGATTTGAAATTACAGATAGAGGAATACTTCTTTTTAGGGTCAAACAAAGATTTTTTATTTTTTCTATTTACTTTATAATTAATTTTCTATTTAAATCAATTCACTATTTTTGATTCTTTTAAGACAATATAATATACAAAGAAAAAGTAGAAAAACAGTACAGTTAAAAATAACAAGAAATAATAACTTCTCCTACTGATATACCCTCCTGAGTTACCTTTAAGAAATTTATGGAGTTAACAGTTATATAATACTCACGTTAAGAAAGATAGAAGCATTGCTTAGATTCAGGAGATATTCTTTTCTTTATGTTTTTCCTTTCTTTGGATTTTTCGTTGCAACTTACGACTGGTGTTCATTCCCCTTTCGGAGTTTATTTGTTCCCCTTTCGGAGCTTATGTGCGGCAGCGAGATTCAGCGCCAGGGAGGGAGCCCTGGTTGATCAGACTTGGCTTTTTGGATTCACAACCCGTCCGCTCGTGGTCTGTTTCAGCTAACTTTATATACCCTTTTTCGGTATTTTGGTACTCCTCCACTCGCCTGACAATTGCTGACATTAGAATTTTGTTGTCTCATTCTGCCCTTACAAAAAACTTTCGTCTGCTCCATTTGGGATAATCAGCACTTTTGTTGCATACTGCTGTCTGAGTTACTTACTTCCCTAAAAGCGGGGTTATTGTTGGTCAACCAATCAAATTTTGTTTTTATTTTTATCTCCTGTATCTGACAATGCTGCCTTTCCTTTACACTTACAATTAAACTGGTGCTCATTTGACATATTCTAGGTAGGCCTCAACACATCCCTTTCACACATAGTCATAAAAATGCAGGACTGGAAGTGTCCTCAGTGGGTCATCTAATTGCGTGCCCTACCTGCAAGGCTGGATGACATAATAATTAGACTAGCCCATTCCTGACAGGTGTGTGTCTAACCTGCTCTTAAAAACTTCCAAAGGCAGAGATTCTACAGCCTGGCTAGGAATCAGTTCCAGAGCTTAACAACCTTGACAGTTAGGAAATTTTTCTTAATGTCCAATTTAAACCTCCCTTGCTTCTTGTCCTATTCTCAGAGGTTAACGAGAACAATTTTTCATGCTCCTTCTTGCAACAACCTTTAGTGTACTTGAAAACTGTTATCCTTGTCCTAGCTCAGTCTTCCCTTTGCCAGACTAAGCAAACCCCGTTTTTTTCAATCTTTTCTCACAGGTCATGTTTTCTAGTCCTTTAATGCTTTTTTTTTTTCCTGTCCTCGTCTGGACTTTCTCCAATGTGTCCACCTTTCCTGAAGTGTGGTGCCCATGTAACCCACACACTTAGGCTATGTCTACACTACAGCGTTTTTGCGGGAAAATGGCCACTTTTCCACAAAAACTCGCAGAGCGTCCACACCTCAAAAAAGATATTTTGGCCTTGGAAAAGGGTTCAGAAAAGGGCAACTAAAATGATTAGGGGTTTGGAACGGGTCCCTTATGAGGAGAGGTTAAAGCGACTGGGACTTTTCAGTTTAGAAAAGAGGAGACCGAGGGGGGATATGATAGAGGTCTATAAAATCATGAGTGGTGTAGAGAGGGCTGATAAAGAGAAGTTATTTATTAGTTCCTATAATAGAAGAACTAGAGGACACCAAATGAAATTAATGGGTAGCAGGTTTAAAACTAATAACAGAAAGTTCTTCACACAGCGTGTAGTCAACCTGTGGAACTCCTTGCCAGAGGAGGCTGTGAAGGTTAGGACTATAATAGAGTTTAAAGAGAAGTTAGATAATTTCATGGAGGTTAGGTCCATAAAAGGCTATTAGCCAGGGGATAAAATGGTGTCATTGGCCTCTGTTTGTCAGAGGCTGGAGAGGGATGGCAGGAGACAAATCGCTTGATCATTATCTTCGGTCCACCCTCTCTGGGGCACCTGGTGCTGGCCACTGTTGGCAGATAGGCTACTGGGCTAGATGGACCTTTGGTCTGACCCAGTACAGTCGTTCTTATGTTCTTATATGTTCTTATGATTGATGCTTGCCTTTTTTCCCCATCATTGTTACACTGTTGATTCATTTTTAACGTGTGATCCACTATGACCCCGAGTTGCCTTCCCAGAGCACTTCTTTCCAAGCAGTACTCCTTCCTTTGCAGTAGCATTGTTGCTCGCTGCAATTTTCTGGATCCTTATGATAGTGTGTTTGGATGCTTATTTGTAAAGAGAACTTGAAACTTTAAGAAAAACTCAGTGGATGCATGGGTGACTCCTGGCAGATGCAGCGAGGAATAAAATACATTGTTCAGACCTGAGAAGGAATCTGTCACATCCCTGGTACCTAAAAGGGGAGTTACCTGACTAGGGATAATAAGGCCTGAAATAATAAGGATCTGCTTTGCTCTGGAGCACAGTGGTGGGGAGTTCCCAATGAAAGAAATTTGTTGTTCTGAGGACCATTTATGATTTTCATGGTGTGTGTTCATTCTCTCTCTCTCTCTCGCTCTCTGTCTCTCTCTGTGTCTCTTCCTTTTAGAAATTGTGGGTGTGGGTTGTGTCCTTAATGGAATCCGGTATAAGAATGGAGAGACCTTCCAGCCCAATTGCAAGTACAACTGCACATGCATTAATGGAGCAGTGGGCTGTATGACACTTTGCACCAATTCACGTCCTCCCCTCATCTGGTGCTCGAACCCAAAGCAAGTCAAGATCGTAGGCCAGTGCTGTGAGCAGTGGATCTGTGATGACTCAAAGAAGATCAGGAAGACATCGCCGCGACACATCTCGTCTGCAGGTAGAGTGTGTGTGTGTGATGGGGATCGCCTTGGCCAGCATGGGGAATTGTCACAGCTAACAGGGCAATCTCTGCAGCCTGCCCTAAAAATTAAGTCCAATAGCTGGTAGCTGCAGTGAAATCCAATCCTCTGTGACTCAGACAGAGTGAGAGACCTAACAGCCCCTGCTGTGTTCACACCCGGCAGCGGGTTTATGCAAAATTCCCAAGTGCTACTGACAACCGTGTTAACCACAGCAAATGAGGGGGGTAGGGAAGACTGCAGTGTGGACTCCCCCCTGCAAATCACCCTTGTGACTCCGTATTCTGCTACTGACCAATGCAGCAGTGTAGAGGTGCCACACACCTAGTGCACTGCCACATCACCGTATCTGACCAACTTTGGGACTTATGGCAAGCCATAAAAGGTAGGATTGCAGGCGCCCCAGCTAAAGCATGTTAGCTGAGAAAATAGGCAGAGAGGTGACAGCAGAAAGCCACCTTAAGTGCTGATAATGCCTCAAAGTCTTTAGTCTATTTATCCTCATAACACCTGGTGAGTTAGGGTAGTGTCATTCTCCCCATTTCACAGATGGTGAACTGAGGCACAGAAGTTAAGGGACTTGCTCAAGGTCATACAGGAAGTCCGTGGTGAAGCAAGGACTGGAATCCAGGTTTGCTATGACCTAGACTAGTGTCCTAACTACTGGGAAACCCTTCATGTTCATCAAACATCCGTGAACCCCAGCAAAGTGTGGCTAAGGTTCTGGATGGGTCTCCTGATCTGGGTTCAAATCCTTGCTCTGTCTTTGTGTGACCTTAGACAAATTTAGTTCTCTGAATAGAGCCTGTGTCTGTCTTGTCTATTTAGAACATACATTCTTCAGGGCAGGGTCTGTTTCTTACTCTGTACAGCATCAAGCCCAATGGGACTTCTCTCTTCCTTGGGACCTCTAGGCTGTGCTGTATTACAGATAAGGCCAGCTAAAGTTCTGCAAACTGCCTGAACGTCTGAGTTAAAGGCAGTGAATACATTAAACCCTGAACCCAGACTGATGGGGCCAAAATGCAAGTGCCGCCTAAGTTCTCTGGGGAATATTCCCTCACCCTATTTAGAAATGAAAGGCTCTGGGAACTGCAGCCCTCCACAAAGACCATGTATGGACCATTCCCTAAGGAAATGAGTCAGCTGGACAGTACAGAAATATGCCTCTCTCATATCTCCTCTCATTCTGACACTGAGTGGTGCGAGGTTCCATTGTTAATTATTTGTATTGTGATGGCATGTGGGAGCCCCTGTCTAGGACCAGGCCGCCATGGTGCTAGACAGTATACAGACAAAGAAGGCAACCTCTGTCCCAAAGGGAAGGGTACCACAACCATACAAGAGACAAATGCCATAGGGCGATAAAGTTCTGAAACAGAGTGGAGCAGAAAAACAGAGCCATTTTCATTGGATTTCATTATTATTCAATGTATCTGCCCAGCAGTTAGAACGAGCAAGCATGTTTGTGTGGTAAAATAATGTCCTCTGGGTTTGGTCTGTAGCTTACAAAGGAGAGAATGAATCCTGGCAGAAGAACTGCATCATTCACACCTCCCCCTGGAGCCTCTGCTCGAAAACCTGTGGGATGGGGATCTCGACACGCATTTCCAATGACAACCACCAGTGCAGGTTCATGAAAGAGAGTCGCCTCTGTAACATGCGGCCCTGTGAGGTGGATATAACCAAACACATTAAGGTGGGTCCATTTCACAGCTTGACTTTTCGTTCACTCGTTGGCTGCCCCTGCCGGCCCAGGTGCAGGGAACCATAGAGCTACATGTTGGAGAGAGTGATAAGTTAGCTCTTCTGACAATGAATGAGATGGAGAATAAGGAGACACTGACTTAGTTTGTCTGCACTTGCATCCTCTTTCCAGAGAGGGATGCAAGTGCAGCTGAGCGAAATTGCAAATGAAGCGTGGATTTGAATTTCCCGTGCTTCATTTGCATAGTTGCATTATGGTGCTATTTCGAAATAGCACTACTTTGAAAAAAGAAACGCTGTCTAGACTAAGTTATTTCGAAAGAAAATCCTTCTTTCGAAATAACCCTTAATCCTCCTACAATGAGGTTTACCAGTTATTTTGGAAGAAGGGTTTCTTTCGAAATAACTGCATCTACACAGCGTTTGTTATTTCGAAATAGGGTATTTCAAAATAGCAGCAGTCTGCGATTATTCAAATGAAGTGCGGGAAATTCAAATCCGTGCTTCATTTGCCATTTCACTCAGCTGCATTTGCATCCCTCTCTCGAAAGAGGGTGAAAGTGTCGACATACCCTTACTGATTAGCATTTTCAGCCTGTGGACTAGATGCTCTCTGGCTGATGCAGATAGGTGTGATTTCTCCTCTCTGGACCACTAGGGTCCCTATTCTTTCATTGCAGGACATAAATAACAGGATGATTACAGGATGATTGCTTTAATTTCTGTCAGGAGCTCCCTATAGGTGACAGCAGCATGCCAGTTGCTCCCTCAGATGTGCCCATGGCTGGGCTAGTAGAAAGGCCATCAGGAATGTGGTGTGTGCTCTCTGTGGGTGTCAACCAAAGGTCCATCTAGTGCAGTATCTTGTTTTCCAACAGTAGCCAACTCCAGATGCCCCAGAGGAAGTGAACAGAACAGGTAATCATCAAGTGATTCCATCCCTGTAACCCATTTCCAGCCTCTGAAAACACAGGCTAGAGACACCATTCCTACCTCTCCTGACTAATAGCCATTGATGGCTCTAACCTCCATGAATTTATCTAGTTCTTTTTTGAACCCTGTTAAAGTCCTGGTCTTCACCACATCCTCTGGCAAGGAGTTCCACAGGTTGACTGTGCACACATGAAGAAAAACTTCCTTTTGTTGGTTTTAAACCTGCTACCTGTTAATTTCATTTGGTGACCCCTAATTCTTATGATATGAGAACAAGTAAATAACTTTTCCTTATTCATTTTTTCCATACCAGTCATGATTTTATAGACCTCTATCATATCCCCCCTTTTCCAAGCTGAAAAGTCCAAGTCTTTTTAACCTCTCTTTGTCTGGAACCTATTCCAAATCCCTAATCATTTTTGTTGCCCTTTTCTGAACCTTTTCCAATGCCAATATATCCTTTTTGACATGAGGCAACCACATCTGTATGCAGTATTCAAGATGTGGGTGTACCATGGTTTTATATAGAGGCAGTAAGATAGTTTCTGTCTTATTCTCTATCCCCTTTTAAACGATTTCTCACATTCTGTATTTAACAATATGTATTTTTTCCTTGAGAAATGTTGCAAAAAGCGTGCATCTGTTGCCAAGTGCCTACATTCATATGCTGAAATGAGGGTTTTTGCAGGACTTAAAAGGCTGCAGGGTCTCTACATCAGGGCAGTATTTTATACAGCAATGCTAACCTCACACGGCAGGTGAGGACTGCTAATTATAGCCGATTGAAATTTATCTGTAGAGGAAATGTTCCCATTACATTTTATCAAACACTAGCTTTTTCATGGGAAAAGATAACTTGACTTAACTTTTCAATTATTTTCTGTGGGAAAATTTGAAATGAAACAGATGCTTGTTTAATTTTGACTCAACATTTGTTTTTCAAAAGCTGAAAACATTTCAAAATGAAGAGTGTTGAGGTGTTGGGTTTCTTTTATCATAGAATCATAGAGCTGGAAGAGACCTCAGGAAGTCATCAAGTCCAGCCCCCTACCCAATCCTAACTATGTCTCTTCGGCTGTGTCTAGACTGGCAAGTTTTTCCACAAAATCATCTGATTTTGCGGAAAAACTTGCCAGCTGTCTACACTGGCCGTTTGAATTTCCGCAAAAGCACTGATGAGCTGATGTAAGATTGTCAGTGTTCTTGCGGAAATACTGTGCTGCTCCTGTTCAGGCAAAAGCCCTCTTGCGCAAATCATTTGCGCAAGAGGGCAAGTGTAAACAGCACATTACTGTTTTCCGCAAAAAAGCCCCAATCGCAAAAATGGTGATCAGGGCTTTTTTGTGGAAAACTGCTTCTAGATTTGGCGGAAAAGCGTCCTGCCAATCTAGACGCGATTTTTCCGAAAATGCTTTTAACGGAAAACGTTTCCATTAAAAGCATTTCCGGAAAATCATGCCAGTGTAGATGTAGCCTTCATGTTTTCTTTTTCCTACTCAAATTTTTCAACATCTCCATCTTTGGAAATGCGGCTGAGAAGCAAAAGGAGAGAGAGGGAGGGAGAAGAGGAGGGGAACTGGGAGAAAGTGGGAGGAGGAGAAAGGAAAAAACAGTTACTCTTTCGAAGTGGAAGAATTTTGGAAAAGTAGAGAGGAAAAATAAAGGGGGGAAATGAAAAAGTATGGGGGGTGGGGAATGCACCCTAGACATTATTTATTTTGTCATGTTCTGGAGAGCAAGAGGGAGGGAAAAGACATTTTAATTTGGATTTTTTATACATAATTTGGAAAAAAAACTTTGAAATGAAACCTTGTTTTGAATCTTGTGAAGCTGAAGCCGTTTGGAAATGTTGCCATTTTTTACTGTGTTCCATTTCTTGACCATCTTTGTGGCCATTCTCAGAGAAGAGCTACCTGCTTGGGGCAAAGCAGTATCAGAGTACCATGCAGTAAAAATTAATCTGCTTCCCTTTCTGTCCTCTCTCCTGTTCTAGCCTGGGAAGAAATGCTTGGCCGTGTATAGAGCAGATGAACCAATGAACTACACCATATCAGGCTGTGTGAGCAAAAGCACATACAGGCCGAAATACTGTGGTGTCTGTACAGACAACAGGTGTTGCAACCCATACAAGTCGAAGACTATTGAAGTGAGGTTCGAGTGCCCGGATGAAACGGGATTTTCCTGGAAAATCATGTGGATCAATGCCTGCTTTTGCAGCCTGACTTGCAAGAATCCCAATGACATCTTCGCTGACTTGGCACATTACCATGATTACTCTGAAATAGCAAACTGAAGTGGTGGAAGGCTGGCGTGAGCTACTGCTCTGATTTTACAGAGGTTTTAAAATAGGCAAATCTTTCATCCAGTGCCAAAGTAACATTTGTTTCCCAAAGTCAAGATTAAGTCTTGTTTTGTTTCTCACTATTTTTAGAGACTTTGAAGCAGGCAGGATTTTCCGCTATAGCAAACTTCCGTCCATTAATGAACGCCAGGGTTCCAGTTCGTTATTAGCACCCAGCTGATCAAATGTCTCTATTGAGTCATGTTGCTCAGATACCATGACAGAAATGACATGCCTGTTGGCTGTTGTGCACCATGGATGGTGAGCATGTTAAAAGAGCATCAAAGAAATGCATTGTGCCAGCAGTTTAATGCCCGAAAAGGATTTAGATTCCAGAAAAATTAGCACACATTATTTCAGCAATGATGTAACTGCACTGTTGCTATCAGTGGCTTAGGCATGGGCATAGACAAGGTTCATGTACTGTCATTCTTTGAGCTGCAAAATAGGTATTGATTTTTCTTGTGTCAGTAAGGCCACAATGTCATGTCCTTTATTAAGATTCTGGGTCAAATTTTGGTCTCGGTTATAACAATGTTAGGGCACATCTAAACTACGATTTTTTTTTTCAAAAGAGAGAATGCAAATTCTATGGGAATTTGCATATCTTCTTCTGATCTCGATTTTGAAAGAGGATCTTTCAAAAGTGAAAATAGTCTGGACACGTTTTTTTCAGGAAAAAAAACCACTCTCCAAAAAAAAAAATAAGAGCGTTTTTTTCGAAAAAGGGTTTTTTTTCCTGAAAAAACCACGTCCAGACTACTTTCACTTTCAAAAGATCTGTTTTCAAAAGTGAGATGGGAAGAAGATATGTAAATTCCCACAGAATTTGCATTCCCTCTTTCGAAAACAAAACATAGTCCACACATAGCCTTAGTCTGGAATCACTCACTACACTCATCACTGTAGCTGAGATCAGCCCGGAAAATGTCACGTGCTACCATTCTCTATGGTAAAATCCATGGGCAGAGCTTAAGGGGAAGAAACTTTCTGCAGAACTCTCCTCATGTTGTTCCACTTGGCTGGATGCAAGCTTCCCCATGCAATAAACCCACAAGGCTGGCCCAGATCTCTCGGGGATTTCTAGGAATTGAGGCCAGGAACTTTCTTCTAGAATTCCTGTACTGCTGCTGCAGCTCAGAACCCAGTCCCTGGAACTTTGGCAATGCCACTGCATGGACCCCAAGCAGATCTCCACCACAGGACAGTTCTCCAGCAAAGATAATGTAGACCCAGACTTCCCTGTTGTTTCCAGGTAAGCGCAGCAGGCCTGGAGCAGGAAAGTTGTGCCTCTCTTCTTCCCCATTCATTCAGATCTATAAGGAAAGGATAAAACACAAAGAATGGTGCCAAGGAGGTAGTTCAGAGCATGCTGCCCTGCCCTGTACTGTTACAAGAGGCAGTGTTACACACTTCTCACCCTGCTCTCATTTCCACTAGAGCCCCTTGATGCAGATGTGTGTAAATATAATTGGTACCACTTTATGGTTCCAGCAGCATGTAAAAATGACTTAATTTATGGGAACATCTGGCTCATCCCATTATTATCCACACCACTGATGAGAATACATGAGTGGAGTGGAAAATTTGGGGGCCCAGGCTTTATAGCTGCATTGGCTGTTCCTTGCAAATTTAAAATAAAAAAAATCTATTTACAATTTTACAGAAGGGGTGTTGACCAAATTCTGGATGAGAGAAAAAAAGACCAGTCACTCATGTCTCAGGCAGCAATGTCTGTCACTGGCCCATGGTCTAGACTACATGAGAACATAGAAAAAGCCACACTCGGTTAGACCAAAGGTCCATCTAGCCCAGTATCCTGTCTGCTGACAGTGGCCAATACCAGATGCCCCAGACGGAGGGAACACAACAGGTAATCCTCACACGATCCCTGTCCTATTACCCATTTCCAGACAAACAGAGGCTAGTACAAACAGAGGTTTTGTACATTAATGTACTTAATCTCCATGAATCTATCTAGCGCTTTTTTGAACCCTAGTCTTCATCACATCCTCTGGCAAGGAGTTTCAGAGGTTGACTGTACACTGAATGAAGAAGCTTTTGTTTGTTTTAAAGCTGCTGCCTGTTAATTTCATTTGGTGACCCCTAGTTCTTATATTGAGGGAATAAGTAAAGAACTTTTCCTTATTCACTTTTTCCATATCAGTCATTATTTTATAGACTTTTATCATATCCCACCTTAGGCTCCACTTTTCTAAGCTGAAAAGTCCCAGTCTTTAGTTTCTGTTCATATCGGACCCATTCCAAACCCCTAATCATTTTTGTTGCCCTTTCTGACCCTTTTCCAATACTAATATATCTTTTTTGAGATGAGGCAACCACATCTGTACGCAGTATTCAAGATGTGGGCATACCATAGTTTTATATACAGGCAATAAGAAGTTCTCTGTCTTATTCTCTATCCCTTTTTTAATGATTCCTAACATTCTATTTACTTTTTTGACTGCCGCTGCACACTGAGTGGATGTTTTCAGACTTGACCTCCCATTCTAAGATAACAGGGAATTTAGCGGACTCTTGTATATTGCATCAGGTCATTTCTTTTGCATTGATTTTTCAGTCTCTCCACATCAGCTATAAATGATAGAGTGTGAATAGGATGTGGGAGTTTAGCCATAGGGGAAAAAACTCATTTTTACTATGCCAAATCTATAATTCCTACCAGTGGTGTCCAGTCCTGTGTAAAGAATAGTTTATAACTAGAAATAAATTGCACTTAGGGGAGAAAAAAAACCCTGTGAACACAAATTAAAATTGGGGTGAAATATTGCACTTGGAAAGACATTCAGAGCAGAGATTTTTCTGGGACTCTAAGCATCTCAATTCAAAAGCACACCACTGTAAACTTTCTTTCTCACTGTTGTGCTGCCCTGCTGTAACCCTTTTATAACCCTTCTTCTGGGGAACTCTCACTATTGCCTCCTACTGTTTTCTCCAGCTCCTTATCCACAGCACCAAGATTATTAAAGCTATTATTTCCACTGGTTAGAGTTCCTTATAACTTGTCTGCATTTGAAGAGGTAACTTCCAAGGGCCAGATTTTTTTAAAACATATTTAGGTGTCTAATTCACAATGAAATTAATGGGAGCTAGGCAGCTCACTACCTTTAATCAAACTCTGGCACCAAACCCATTGCAAATCCAAGCCAGAGTGGTTGGGGGCAGATCCTGCAGCCGAAGATGAACTATAACAAACTACACTCGCTGAGGTGCTGCTACCGGCATTTTACTTACTACTGGGATAAATCCTGCTGCACTTTTATCTAACCCTTATTCTGAAAAACTCTCATTGCCCCACAATAGGCGTTCTGCTGGGGTAAAGAATTAAGACATGTATCAAAAGGGGAGGGTTAGCACTGATCTCTATTCTCCTTAGCCATCAGTTGTGCCTTGATTTATAGACCTCTCTGAGACCTGGACTAGCCTAGAAAATTGTTGGCTTGAGTATGCCGTTCAGGCTGTGAAAAATCCCCACCTCTGTGCTGTGTAATGCTGCCCTAACCCCCCTCTGCCCCAGTATTAGGTTGACAACAGAATCAATCCGTTCTTCCAGACCTATGGGGGCGGGGTTAGATTCTCGATACTGAAGAGAGAACCCCTCCCAACAGCATGGCAGTGTTTGTAGCAGTACTGCTGTGTTGCTGAGGCATTTCTAGTGTCGCTCTGGGTCTCTGATCCCAGAAATAAAGCCAGCTTGTACCTGACTCTTGCATGGGAGCGCTAATTGGGGAGCAACTGCAAAGCACTATGCCTCTCCCCTCCTCAGACCTTTCCTTGGCTCCTGGAGGTTTCATGGTGGAGGGATGTCAGGCTACGTCTACCCTGCAGACATCCCTCCAGTATCCTGAAATAGCTATTCCGCATCCTAACAGCAAGCCTGTTATTTCAAAATATAACCGATGTGCTATTCCGACATCCCTGTGAGCCTCATTCTATGAGGAGTAAGGGACGTTTCGGAATAGCACGTTTTCGAAATAAGTGCTGTGTAGACAGCGCCAAATTATGAAATAAGCTATTTCAAAACTGACTCAAAATAAGCTATGCCGTTTGCATAGTTAAAATTGTGTAGCTTATTTTGAGCTACGAGTGCAGTGTAGACACACCCTCAGAATCCTAGACTTCAGTGACCACAAGTACTGCTGTATGGGGGAGATGGTGGACAGGGGTGAGTTGTGCAGCTCATCCCAAGTCGGTGCTCATGATCCTTGGGTAGCGCACACACATGATCATGCATTTTTCCACTTATAACTCCATGCTGCCCCCTGAATGATTTATAGTACTATAACAGAGGGGCCAGAGCCATGAGGTGGAGCCTGGATTCCAAAGGAGAGGGGTTCATGTGTGGGCTTTGGAGTCATCTCTCACGCTACCTGTGCCTGAGTTATGCAGTGAATTGCGGGCGCTAAACCTCCCCAAACTTCCCGTTTTCTGCTTCAGGCTAATCTATAAAACCATGTACATACCCTTTGGTACTTGTCTGTGGCTATGTAGATACTCACATATAGTGCACTATATTTTCATAGACACAGTGGCAAAGAGAGAGACTAGGCAACATCGTCAAAGGACATAACCAGAATCACGCTGTAGGCTCATTGGTTTAACTTTTTTTACTGTCTGTCTAAACATTAGAGCTGCCCTAAGGATGTGTTGGCTGTGGACTGTTTACCTCAGTGGTTGAAAGAAGCTATTATGAACTGATATGCAGTTGGCATCTCCAGGCTGTTCTCAAGTGATGTGACTGCCAAACAGCTTTTGTCAAGACACGTCCACGTTTCATTTGTACCAGAGCCCCATCTGAGAGACCGACAGTGGGAGCAAGTTAATTCCATTTGTGGTATGAGATGGAACCCTTCTAATACAGTTTTGAGAAAAAGTTAACCTGGTGGTTCAGAGACTGTGGACATCTAAGTTCACTTTCTGCCTCTGCCACTAGCGTCCTTTGACAAGTCTCTTAATCTCTCTGTGCCTTAGTTCCCCCATCTGTGAAATAGGGACAATAAGAATCTTATTCTCCATGCTTTGGCTAATTAATTTAGCCTGTAAGTGCTTTGAGGAAGTTCTGGCTCTTGCTTTCTGTTTACACAGGGCCCTAGCACAATGGGCCAGCTGATCTCTGCAGGTACTGTGAGGTGTTACAGTAAAACAAGTAATACAACAATAATGCAGGGAGAAAAATGCCAATCTCTGGACAGGTGCTAGAATTCTTTTGGTGCTATGTTTTACAGCAAAGGTAAAATACTCTGCTGGGAAAGGGCAAAGAGAAGGCCTTTTTTTTTTTTTGGCCCATGCCCTGTTTACTCCATGCACATCATTTCATGGTCGTTCATGTACTTGTATGAGGAGAAGTGTGTGTGGAATTGGAGGATCTGTGCTTGCTGCCTTCAGCAGCAAAACTCTGGTTGGGTTTGTTTTTTGTTTTTCGTTGAGGTCAGTAAATTGTGATGGCTCGCTTTACCTCCATCAGGCCTGAAGGCACAAACCTCAGAGGTTTGAAACCATTTAAATAATAGGTACACCTGATGCACAATTTAAAGTACCAAATATATAACTTAAACGAGGTGCCTTTGCACTGAGTCAATTGTAACTTAAA